GCCCCAGTAGATAGTTGTATGTCATAGCTGCACATCCTTCTAGTTGCTGTATGTGGGACGCAGCCTCAGCATGGCCAGAGAAGCAGTGCATCGGTGCGCACCCGGGATCCGAACCCGGGCCGTCAGCAGTGGAGCGCGAGCACTTAACCGCTAAGCCACGGGGCCAGCCCAAACTTGGGCTCTTTACCATGTGCTATGCTCCCATTACATGGCGGGGGCGGGGGGGGGTGATGAAATTGAGATTAGCGTAGCAAATCAAACCACAATGAGATACCACTTCACACCTACTAGGATGGCTATATTAAAAAATTTAATTTAAAAAAACATGGAAAAATAACAAGTGGTAGCAAGGATGTGGAGAAATTGGAACTCTTATACATTGTTGGTGGGAATGTAAAATGGTGCAGCTACTGTGGAAAACAGTCAGGCAGTTCTTCAAAAAGTGGAACAGAATTACCGTGCAATGCAGCAATCCCACTCCTTGATATACACCCAAGAGAATTGAAAACATATGCCCATACAAAAACTTGTATACAAATGTTCATAGAAGCATTATTAATAATAGTCAAAAAGTGGAAACAGCTCAAATGTCCATCAGCTGATGAATGGATAAACAAAATGTTGTCTATCCATACAAGGGAATATTATTCAGCCATAAAAAGGAGTGAATGCCACAACATTGATGAACCTTGAAAACATTATGTTAAATGAAAGAAACCTGATACAAAAGACCAGATACTGTATGATTCCATCTATATGAAATGTCTAGAACAGGCAAATTGATAGAGACAGAAAGTAGATTAGTGGTTACCAGGGGCTGGGGGGAAGGGGACTGGGGAGTGACTGCTAATGGCTATAAGGTTTCTTTTTGGACCTATAAAAATATTATGGAATTATATACTGGTGATGGTTGCCCAACATAGTGAATATACTAAAATCCACTGAAATGTACACTTTAAAATGATGAAATTTGTGTTAATGTGAACTATGTCTTAATTTTCAAAAAAGACAACTTCAGATCAGATCCAGAAGGTCTTTCAATACTGGACTATGGGGTCCAGGTTTTCTTTTGGACAACAGGGAGCCACTGAAAGTTTCTAAGGGGGATAGTGGCATGATAGGGGTCATGGAAACATGCAAAGTGCTTAGCACATAGCAAGTGTTCAAAAATATTAGCTCCCTTCTCCTCTCCCTTCCTCCCCCAATTCAAGACCAAGCCGCCCGCCATGACCCCTGTGGAAAAACAGCTCTTTTCTGTTTGGTTCCTAATGGAAAACCTTCTGTTTTAGTCAAAACCACTCTTGCTATTAGGCCCCCTGGTTGTCTTCCTGAGGGTCCCGAGCCACTCAGTGCCAGACAGGTTCATCTTAGCCTCTCTGAAACATCCTCTTCTCTTTCCTCCTCCTGCTCTCTCCTCCTCTCCTCCTCCTCCTCCTCTTTTCCTCTTTCTCTTCTCCTTCTCCTTTTCCTCACCAGCCCCCCACTCTTCCTCTTCTTCTTCCTCTTTTAAAAAAAAATTTGAAATAATGGTTTTCTAAAAAGCCCTCATAGATCTCAACTTTACCCAATAATGTCACCCCACCATATAAATTCTACACTTCCCTAGTCTCTATTGCCCTCCATTTCTCCCTCCTTCTTCCCCCATCTCACCCACAGGGCGGGGAGCATAGTAAAAATGAGGCAGGCTGTCCTGGGTTCTAATCCCAGCTCCCCATCCTGCTGCTCATCTGACCAGAGGCATAGCCTCAATGTTGTCATTTGCATAAGGTGGTTACAATAATAGTAATACTAATATCAATTCCTAAGGTTCTTTTGAGGATGGTATTCATTAAAGTGCTTCTCTGATGCCTGGTATGTCGGCTGCACTCAATAAATTATCACTATGGCATCACCATTATTATTGAGTTAGGGGGCAGCATATGGCAAAAGTGCTGACATTGATTTAGAAGTGGGTTTCCTCCCTCAACTCTCAAATACTTTAAGGATGCGTTAAAAGCTTTGACGTGGAGACTACTTCAAATGACAAAATCCTTTTCCCAAAATCATCTGAGAAACGTCCCAGGAGGAGAGAGCTGCTTCCAAGAAACGGTTTGAAGTGCCATTATCGAGGGGGGACAGGGGCTCTAGGGGATTTTGGGGTCAGCAAATATCAAATGAGCTACCTCACAGAGTTGTGGTGGGGATTTCCCACGAGGCCCCGCCCCCGGCTGAGTCACTGAAGCTCCCGCGTTTGACCTGCAGTCCCCCGAGCTGCAGGCATCACTGCTCTGAAGATCGAGGAGTGGAAAGTTCTCCACCAGCCCTGAGATCTCAAGGTTTGTTCATTTGGGGCAGACAGGGGGAACCGAGTTGGGGTGAGGGTAGAAGCTTTGTTCCCTTTGTACATTTCTGGACTTTTTTCCCTTCTAATTTCGAATAACTTTTATTCCATAGCCCATTAAATAAAGATTAAGAACCAGGCTAAACAGATTTTTTTTGGCTCCTTAGTTTTGTTACTATATGAGATTCAAATCTCAAAATAAGCAAATATGTATCTGTTAAGAAAATGTGATAATGAATTGAGCAGAGGGGTGTTTCAACATTTTAGCAATTAGGTGTTGAAATTTCCACATGCAGTTCAGACAAATAGTAATAATGAAATGTCTTCTCATTGAGCTAAACTGTTAGATGCTTCCACTGACAGATTCTCTTTTTAAGGACTATGTTTCAGGGGCAGCAAGCAACTGGCATTCTTGAAATCTGGATGCAAGTGCTAAGTATCTATGAAAGTCCCCAAAAGTTCTTGCTATTGTTATTTCTTCATTTTGGCAGAACATGTTGGAAAGTGCACGCTTAGACTTGGGAAAACATGTACAAAGCTACATGTTTAGTCATGCTTGTTTTATCATAAAAGTTTCTATGAATTTTCTACCTTTTCCATAATATTCCATCATTAATTGTTCCTGAAAAACCTTGAGTTGTGGTCTTGTGGAATTGTATAGGTAATGGTTGAAATGTAGATAATTCTAAAAGGAGAAACCACCTCATTCTTGGAAATTTTTTTTGCTTTTTTGCAGAGTGGTGTTTGTGAAACCAGCTAATTTGATTCAATTCTTTTGGAATCTACTTTCCTAGTATCATATCTATGCAAGATTTCATCATGGGAAATGGCTGTTACAACATAGTGGCTACTGTGCTGTTGGTCATGAATTTTGAGAGGACAAGATCAATAACGCAGGATTCCTGTAGTAACTGTCCAGCTGGTAAGAACCAAATTAACATGTGTGTTTGATCTGTTCTGTTGAAAACGTGGTTCAGTTAGTCTAGTAGTCAGGGTTAATGAGCTCTGTTTTTATGATCTTTTCTTCATTCATTTACAAATATTTCTTGGATCCTACATCATAGCTGTGTGAATGCAGCCATGTCATTTAGTCTCTTGCACCCCAGCCTCATCATCTGGGGATAATAAGAGAACCTATTTCACGGGATTTCTTGGAGGATCATATGATGGGCTTAGAACAGTGCATGGCACATGGTGAGACCTCAGTAAATGTTAGCTTTGTGTGTGGGGACCTGTGCTCAGTCTGGGGGTGCAGGAGGCTTAACAGAGGGCGGAGAGGCAGACACATTTAAATTCTAATGAATGAAAGAGATTGATCTCCTCCTGAGTCTGGTCATATTGATCTCCTGGATCAATCAAGAGAAATCATTCTGTTTTATTCAATAAAGGGAATGATTCCCTTTCTGTTGATTTATTTGGTGCACTATCTATATTTTGTTATTTCTAATTCTGTGATTATGCTAAGGGCAATCTTGCAAATGTATAATTTTTAAAAGTCAATCAACAAAATAAAGTCTATCATTGAGACTTTATTGGTAGAAACTAATCACTGTTTCACATTCTAGTTTTCTTGTGACCTTCATTATGCTCTGAGTGATGACTGTCCCTTGTCAAACATGTAAAGCTATTATCTACCCTCCTTAGGTAATTTCTGCGGGAAAGACAAGAATCAAATTTGCCTTCCCTGTCCTCCAAATAGTTTCTCCAGCACAAGTGGACAAAAGACCTGTGATATATGCAGGCAATGTCAAGGTATGAGTTGAAAGATGTATTCTTCATCCGGATACATGTTGGGAAGACAAGCTTTTATTCCCTAGTCTGCTGATCTCTACTGAAAGTCTTAAGTTTCAAAGGTGCTGGTTCCTCTGTTGATAAGCAGGTCCAGTAAGATAACTTACTATAACAGCAATTATTTGTGGATTGAGCTTTTTAAATACTAGAGGAAACATTTAAGAGAGAAATTTTTATTTATTTATTTATTTATTTATTTATTTATTTATTTTTATTGATGTTTTAATGGTTTTTAACATTGTGAAATTTTGGGTTGTGCATTTTTGTTTGTCCATCACCATATATATGACTCCCTTCACCCCTTGTGCCCACCCCACCCCCACCCCCCACCCCCACTGCCCCTGGTAACCACAGTACAGTTTTCTCTGTCCATGTGTTGGTTTACATTCCACATATGAGTGAGATCATACAGTGTTTGTCTTAAGAGAGAAATTTTTAATGTACAAAATGTAAAAATGCCTTCTATAGAGATTTAAAAGTAAATTTTACATTCTAAGATCATTAGAAACATTATAAGTAGAGTGAGCACAGTTTTTATTGCAGAACATAAATTTGCTTCCTGGGTTCAGAGGTCGAGTGTAATGTAACAGTGGGAGCACTTTCTAGGTGTTTTCAGGACCAAGAAGGCTTGCTCCCCCACCAGCAATGCAGAGTGCGAGTGCATCTCGGGATTCCACTGCTTAGGGGCAGGATGCACCATGTGTGAACAAGATTGTAAACAAGGTCAAGAATTAACCAAAGAGGGTAGGTTTGCTCTTCTTCAATCTATCACCAGTTTGTTATCTAGACATCGGTAATTAGCTTAGGTCTTGGTCCTTTGAATATAAAGTAAAGCACAGACTTGTAGCACCTTAAAATAACAAGCAATGAACTGCTGAGTCAAGTATATGATATTCACAAAATTGTTTTTCAATCAGTGGAAATACTTTAAAATCACATTTTCTATTCACCAGGACCATGCATTTTCATACATTGTATACATATATATACAATACTCTGTGTACAATTAGAATAAAAACTTTAGTCATCTTGGGGTTTCATTTCAAGAAGAATTGTTGAACAATCTGTGTAGATTGTATTAAGTTAATGACTTTATTATTACGTCATTATCTTCATCATATAATAATATTAAAAAAGAATTGTTCATCACTAATAAAATTCAAGAAGAATTGTTGAACAATCTGTATAGATTGTGTTAAGTTAACTTTGTTATTATGTGATTATGTTCATCAGAGGGAAAGTTATGAAATGATAAAAATGGTTCCTTTTTTATTATTGCTTTACTTTTTATGCAAGGTTGTCAAGACTGTTGCTTTGGGACGTTTAATGATCAGAAACGCGGTGTCTGTCGACCCTGGACAAAGTATGTATACTTTCTTTTTGCTTACAAAATAAAGAATCTAGGTTAACTTTTTTAAAGACAAGGAACGTTGTCACTGGAGCTTTTTTGTCTATCAAGTGTAGACACAGATTGTCCTACTAATAGGCAGTGTGGGAACAATGTGAAGCAATAGTGACTTGACACACAAAGTGAGCATCTTCTCCAGAAATGACGCCCAGAGCATCCAGATCCGATTTGCTGGTGGAATTTTGTTACTGTCTGCCCCAGAGTTCTTTTGTTTCCTTCTGATCTCTTTGCTGCCTCTTACTTCCCTAATTGATCAGCTCGCCTTCCAGTGTGCAATGCCAGCACTGAGAATGATATAGAAGGAGGGGAAAGTATGTTTCCTACCCTCGAAAACCTACCATGTACTTGTGCAAACAAGACCACCACAGACAGTAAAACAGCCAGTGGTGAACATGGGAATATTCCTGTCGACTTGTGTGATCTGGGCCAGAGCTATGAAAGTGTGGTCTGCACACAGGCGCTGGCCCGTGAGCAGTCTGCTGTCTGTCCACAGCAAGAGCAGTGCAGGCATGGAGAGTGAGCAGGGAGAACTGCCAAGGCAGTTGGCAGAGTGGTGTGTATCTGTCGACTCTAATAATAAAAACTTAGATCTTGTATTTTGCATGCCTTTGTTCTTTTGTCGTTTGATTTTCTTACTAGAAAATCATTTTTATCATCATCTATTTTTATTATTATCGTTATCATCATTTACATTCTTATGATGGTTTACAAAAGCATTAGTTTGTAACAGATTGGGAAGTTTTCTTTCTTAAGAAAAGGTCTTTCAACACAAATAATCCAAAGTCAGTCTGCATGGAAAGTTGGGGCTTTGGAGAATGGGTGGGTTTGGGTTAGGTAAAGAGACAAGGGAAAAGATGTAAGAGCAACGATGATGATGATGATGGTGATGGTGACAATGATGATGATGATGTTAGCTACTTACTGGGAGTGGGTCAGGCACGTGGAAGTGTGTCCCTGGGGTCATTCGTTTGCTCTCCGCAACAGTCCTGGGAACATGCGTATCTTATTTTGAGATGAGAAAACTGAGGCTTAGAGAGATTCCTAACTTGCCCAAGGTCATTCTGCAAAGAGACAGACCCAGGGCTCAAACCCTGGTCTGTCTGAGGCCAAGACGTCACAGGGTTAAGAACTCTAACCCTCATGCTAACTCATCTGTCTTTCATATGTGCCGGAGATGGTCAAGTATGCTTGAAAAGTTAGGGGTGTGAGACTAACCCGGCAAAACAGTCTGAACTGAGCTGTCGTGGAACAAGGCTCTCCAGCCCGGGAAACAAAGAAGAATCCAGTTAGGTGGGTAGAGCTGGGAGAACTGTGGACAGCCGGGAAAGCTGAGTGAAAGCTGGAGGAAGCCAGATGGTCAAGGGGAAGTTTTTCAAAATATCTTTATGAACCTAGACTCACACATTTAGTCACTAGGTTGCTTTACTGCATATAAAATGTCGGTGTTTTTAGTTAGAATGACCTGTACCTGAACTAATTATTTGAACTCTTCGTTGGACTGTCTAAGCTGTTCTTCGGATGGAAAGTCTGTACTCGTGAATGGGACGAAGGAACGCGACGTGGTGTGTGGACCAACGTCCGCCGACTTCTCTCCAGGTACATCCTGCACCACCACACCTGCCCCCTCGGCAGTGCCACGTAGCTGGTTTGTTGCTGTTAAATCGAAGCAAATGTACCATGGCCATTACGATTGGAATCTAAGTCACCCCCATATCGCGATATCTTACTTCTCTGCCCACAACAGGCACCTCCGGAATGCCTCCCTTCTTTTACCCAGGCATCAAGGGACATCCGTTTTTCTCAGGTGTTTCTCACTTAGTCTAAGATACACATTAGTAAGCAGACCAGGGTGAGACTTGACCCAAGCAGATACCACACCTTTGCTAATGCCAAGTAAAGGGGGTTACAGATTCCATATTTCCTATATGCTAGAAGGGCCAAACCGCTTAATTTTTGTGGACCTCTAGGAAAAGTATTAAAGTTTCTTTTTTTAAGTTTTCTTAATACGCAGGCAAGTTTACTAAGTTAGCTGGTTGAAGATGCCCAAGGCACCTCTTCTCCTCATGCTTAGGGGTTTACAAATGTAAATATAAATATAAGTATGTTTGCAAAGTTATATTTTTACAGGCATTTCTCCTTTTGCAGGAGGTCACACCCCCCAGCTCATCATCTTTCTTGCATTGACGTCATCTACGGCATTGTTCCTGGTGTTCTTCCTCGTGCTCCGTTTCTCTGTTGTTAAACAGGGCAGAAAGAAACTCCTGTATATATTCAAACAACGTAAGACTAACATAAAAGTATTAGATATTAGTGTTTGGAGGCAAGGTTTTTTACAGTAGAAAGGAAACGATGATTATTTTTTTTAAGTTATAGAAACTAGGTTAGTATAGCACAGTGGTATCAAACAGGGGCAATTTTGCCCCCAAGGGGACATTTGGCAATGTCTGGAGATGGTTTAGGTGGTCACAACTCAGGGGAGTGGGGAGGGAGTGCGACTGCCATCTAGTGAGTGGAGGCCGGCGATGCTTTTAAAATTCCTACAATGCGCAGGACAGCCCCCAGCAGAGAGTTATCCAGCCCCCAGGTCAATAGTGCTGAGGTGGACAGAGCTGGTGATAGAACATAATCCAAGGCTTCTGGAAAAGGATAATTCACGTATGCTTCGGTCTTGGATAACTCTGTGTGTGTGTGTGTGTGTGTGTGTGTGCACGTGAGCGTGCGTACATGCACTCACACACGTGCACACATCCATGTACAGCCAGTCCATTGCGCATACAGAACACTGGCAAAGAGGAATCAGAAAATAGTGTTTGCCCCCTCCAGTACTGCTCCTCTGGCTGATAAACGGCCTTAATCTGAGCTAGATCCACGACTTGAGGAAAGACACAGAGAACTAGGAGGGAGTTTGAAGTGGGTTTAATGAAATGGATTATTATGACACCAATTTGGATTAAAGGAGAAATTTCCTTTTCTTTTTTTTTTTTGTGAGGAAGACCAGACCTGAGCTAACATCCGTTGCCAATCCTCCTCTTTTTTGCTGAGGAAGACTGGCCCTAGGCT